AAAATGAAATTTTATTAATACAAACCCATTATAACTGTACAGAAAAACTACTTTTTCTTTGTGTAATTATTGTTTCCATTGCGTCCGAGGAATCACACTTTTCAAGATTTAAAATATAAAATCAACATCATGTGTCAATAATATGTGTACAACTAAACATCAATGGCTGTTGCAATTTACAAGTGTCAGGAACTGCAACATGAATTTCTCCACGTGAATATTTCATCCTGTGTGCTGGTTTGACCAAGTATTAATCAAATATTTTCATAAAAAAAATAAATAAAACTGCTAATTTCAGTAAAATCATATAATAAAAAGGGCCACAATGGCCCTAGATCGCTCACCTGACCCATCGAACTCACCCGAGCAATTACCTTGACAAGCATCCTGACCAAGTTTCATGACAGGTGAGTCAAACCAATGTGACCACTAGAGTGTTGACAAGGATTTTCCATAATTGAGCAGTGTGGCCTAGTTTTTGACCCCAGATGACCCATACTCGAACTTGACCTAGAAATTATCAAAACAAACTTTCAGACCATTTTTCAGGATATTTGGATCAAAACAGTAGCCACTAGTGTGTAACAATATTTTTCTATTTTTAGCTCCTGTGACCTAGCTTTTTATCCAAGTCGAACTCATCTAAGCAATTACATAGACAAGCATCCTGACCAAGTTTGATGACAAATGAGTCAAAAATGTGACCACTAGAGTGGTTACAAGGTTTTTTTCCATATTTGGGCGGTGTGACCTAGTTTTTGACCCCAGTTGACCCATATTCGAACTTGACCTAGAAATCATCAAAACAATTTTCAGACCAATTTCCAGGATATTTGGTTCAAAACAGTAGCCACTAGTGTTAACAAGATTTTTCTATTTTTAGCTCCTGTGACCTAGTTTTTCATCCGATATGACCCATGTTCGAACTCATTTGAGCAATTACCTAGAGAAGCATCCTGACAAAGTTTGATGATGATTGAGGCACAAATGTGTCGGCTAGAGTGTTAACGAACCAATGTGGATCGACGACAGACATTCAACGATCCTAAAAGCTCACCCTGAGCTAGCTCAGATGAGCTGAAAAGCAATTGCTTGACCCTCTAAGGGCTTTTAAGTATAGAAGACACTTTAAGGGTCCTTAATGATTCTAAATCAGAGGGAACAAAAAAATCTTATTATTTTGCTGATCAAAGTTGTGTGACTGTTATAAACAAAATATAAAAATATAGTTATTATGACATAGACATGGCATAAAAACACCCTTGTAGGGATTCTTTATACATCAACAGGATATGGCTCTTTTAATCAAGAGACCAAACTCTACTAGTAATTCACGTTCTGCTCAAGTTTGAACAAAATTAAAACTAGAACTATCACTAAATGTGATTAATACCCCCACAAGACTGCTTCAGAAATGAGGATGTTACTAGTAACAAAATACCTTGTAAAAGAATTGAAATATAGAGTTATGGTTGTGTAAAATTAAATATAGTTGTGGTTCTTGTATGTTGCATTTCCTTTCAATGTGGTTGGCCATTGATGAAGTTTTATTGAATTACTCTGTAATAAGTCCAGAAAGACAAGGAAAAGAAACAAAGGGCAATAACTCTATAAATACTGAAGATGGACTTATAGTTCTTGTGCACTGCACTTCCTGTTATTATGCTTGACCATTGTATGAAGTTGTTTTGAATTCCAACCAGTACTTTTTAAGTTATGCTCTGGACAAGGAAAAGTATCAAAGGGCAGTAACTCTGTATTTTGTCAAAATGGAGTTATGGCTCTTGTGCACTGCACTTCCTTTTAATGTCCTTGACAACTGTATGAAGTTGTATTGAATTTCAAAAAGTAGTTTTCAAATTATGCTCTGGACAAGGAAAAGTAACAAAGGGCAATAACTCTGTAATTAGTCAAGATGGAGTTATGGTTCTTGTGCACTGCACTTCCTCTCAATGTGCTTGACCATTGTATGAAGTTATATTGAATTCCAACTATAAGTCTTCAAGTTATGCTCCGGATAAAAAAAGCAATGGAAAAGTAACAAAGGGCAATAACTCTGTAATAAGTCAAGATGGAGTTATAGTTCTTGTGCACTGCACTTCCCCTTATTGTGCTTGACCATTGTATGAAGTTGTTTTCAAGTCATGCTCTGGACAAGGAAAAGTAACAAAGGGCAGTAACTCTGTAATAAGTCAAGATGGAGTTATGGTTCTTAAGCACTGCACTTTCTCTCAATGTGCTTGACCATTGTATGTAGTTATATTGAATTCCAACCATTAGTCTTCAAGTTATGGTCTGTACAAAAGAAAGGAATGGAAAAGTAACAAAGGGCAATAACTCTGTAATTACTTTAGATAGAGTTATGGTTCTTGTGCACTGCATTTCCCCTTATTGTGTTTGACAATTGTATGAAGTTGTTTTGAATTCCAACCAATAGTTTTCAAGTTATGCCCCAGACACAGAAAAGTAACAAAGGGCAATAACTCTGTAATAAGTCAAGATGGAGTTATGGTTCTTGTGCACTGCACTTCTTTTTAATGTGCTTGACCATTGTATTAAGTTATAATGAATTCCAACTATTAGTCTTCAAGTTATGGTCCGGACAAAAGAAAGGAATGGAAAAGTAACAAAGGGCAATAACTCTGTAATTACTTTAGATAGAGTTATGGTTCTTGTGCACTGCACTTCCCCTTATTGTGTTTGACAATTGTATGAAGTTGTTTGAATTCCAACCAGTAGTTTTCAAGTTATGCCCCGGACAAGGAAAAGTAACAAAGGGCAATAACTCTGTAATTAGTCAAGATAGAGTTATGGTTCTTGTGCACTGCACTTCCTCTCAATGTGCTTGACCATTGTATGTAGTTATATTGAATTCCAACCATTAGTCTTCAAGTTATGCTCCGGACAAAAAAAGCAATGGAAAAGTAACAAAGGGCAATAACTCTGTAATTACTTTAGATAGAGTTATGGTTCTTGTGCACTGCACTTCCCTTTATTGTGTTTGACAATTGTATGAAGTTGTTTTGAATTCCAACCAGTAGTTTTCAAGTTATGCCCCGGACAAGGAAAAGTAACAAAGGGCAATAACTCTGTAATTATTCAAGATAGAGTTATGGTTCTTGTGCACTGCACTTCCTCTCAATGTGCTTGACCATTGTGTGTAGTTATATTGAATTCCAACCATTTGTCTTCAAGTTATGGTCTGTACAAAAGAAAGGAATGGAAAAGTAACAAAGGGCAATAACTCTGTAATTACTTTAGATAGAGTTATGGTTCTTGTGCACTGCCATTTCCCCTTATTGTGTTTGACAATTGTATGAAGTTGTTTTGAATTCCAACCAGTAGTTTTCAAAGTTATGCCCCAGACACAGAAAAGTAACAAAGGGCAATAACTCTGTAATAAGTCAAGATGGAGTTATGGTTCTTGTGCACTGCACTTCTTTTCAATGTGCTTGACCATTGTATTAAGTTATAATGAATTCCAACTATTAGTCTTCAAGTTATGGTCCGGACAAAAGAAAGGAATGGAAAAGTAACAAAGGGCAATAACTCTGTAATTACTTTAGATAGAGTTATGGTTCTTGTGCACTGCACTTCCCCTTATTGTGTTTGACAATTGTATGAAGTTGTTTTGAATTCCAAACAGTAGTTTTCAAGTTATGCCCCGGACAAGGAAAAGTAACAAAGGGCAATAACTCTGTAATTAGTCAAGATAGAGTTATGGTTCTTGTGCACTGCACTTCCTCTCAATGTGCTTGACCATTGTATGTAGTTATATTGAATTCCAACCATTAGTCTTCAAGTTATGCTCCGGACAAAAAAAGCAATGGAAAAGTAACAAAGGGCAATAACTCTCTGTAATTACATTAGATAGAGTTATGGTTCTTGTGCACTGCACTTCCCTTTATTGTGTTTGACAATTGTATGAAGTTGTTTTGAATTCCAACCAGTAGTTTTCAAGTTATGCCCCGGACAAGGAAAAGTAACAAAAGGGCAATAACTCTGTAATTAGTCAAGATAGAGTTATGGTTCTTGTGCACTGCACTTCCTCTCAATGTGCTTGACCATTGTGTGTAGTTATATTGAATTCAAATAATTAGTCTTCAAGTCATGCTCCGGACAAGGAAAATGCAACGGACGTCTGGACCGACCGACCGACCGACCGACCACCAGGTGACTCCTATATACCCCCCCAAACTTCGTTTTTGGGGATATAATGAAACTGCAGTGATTTACAAAGGTTAATTTACCAGATTTTAGTCATTTCAGGGGCCAAACCTCTGCAAAGCACTATGGAACTAGGCCGGTTTAATCTACTAGTTATTCAAGTTTCCTGCAAATTATATTGAAATTAACTGAAAAATTGACACTTAAATGGTGCAGACAAAGTAAAATATGCTTCATTTGGCCCTTTCATGTGTAACATATAAGCAAATTGGCCAATTCAAGAATGGAACTGTGATCTTCCTTTAGTAGTACAAGAGAAATTGCTGATGGACCGGCAACATGCATGATCATCCTAACTGCAACCACCTTTTCACAAAGAAAAGACCAGGATCAACTGATCCTGATTTTATTTTCAGTGTTTTATAAAACTAAAACTGATATTATGCTAGAATTTAACGGTACATTTTCGAAATGTAAATAATTGCTTATTTGCAAAGAAACCAACCTATATTCGGATAAAATCAACAAATAACGAAACAAATGCAAAAAAAAAAATCGGATCAAAATGAGGATCAAGATCAGAATTTGGATCAACTGTAAAATGCCCGTATCTTGTAAAAATAACAATAAATTAATTATCAAATTTCAAAAACATGCTATTTCAAGTCCAGCTTTATCAAGTTAATATTGAATATTTAATCTATGAGGATAAGTAATGGCGAATGTTTAAGTAATTGATCCTGATCCTTAAATCTTTGTGAACACGGGGCCCGATCACTTGAGCTAAAACAAATGGCTGGACATATAATACAATAACTGATAACAAAAATGGATGCAATTATGTAAAGATTATTTTATTTTTAATAAATATTTATTTTCATGGACGGAAAACACACATAATTTCGACCTAACAACATATTATTCAACTTTGTCACAAATATATCATACACAATATGTTACAATCATATCACAGAATAAGCTATACAAAATGCAGCTTACATAATAATTTCTCATAAAAGATATCACATTTTGAAACAGTAACCAATTTTTCTCTCCTTATTTTGGAGAAGAAAAAAAACGACACACAGTGGACTGTCCTGTTAACCATTTAATAAGAATATTCAAAAAAAAGAAAACATACTCTTAAAACACCAATCATGTGACATTTATCTACCATTCACAGAAGATTATTCACTAAGACAATGGAAAAATGGAAAATATGTCCAATCTCCTTCAAATAACAACAATGAACAGGATGTTTTTGGGCTAATTACATTCAATTATTTGTGGCAAATATAATGTTCAACACAAAAATATCACATTTTTAGGAATGTAAACAACAAAGAAAAAGCTGGTACAATACTCTGAATTTACAATTAGCAGTTATATTTTGCCAGTCATTCCATAGCCAATCAAGCTACGAAACTTGTAAAAGTGTAAAATTTTAGCCAAAATGACTACTATTTTGTTCAGCCAAGAATATTATATTCATCTCATAGTTTTGTACTAAAAAAATCAATTATTTGTATAATTAACTCTGTCTCTGACACCAATTACACTGTCTAATTAAGATTAAACTTGAGTCAGTAAACATTCCTTTATTTCATGCATTCTACAATTAAGTATGCAAGAAGATAAAGAAGTAAACAGTTTAGAAATATTCAGCAAGTCTTGGGTCTTGTCTCAGTGTTTGTTCAAGCATCATGTACTTGTGTGGAGCCTGATCTTTGTGTCTGAAAAAAAGACAAGAATAATGAGTTTAACACATCTGATTTGATGATAAATATCAAGTACAAACATGAGCTGTCCATGAAACAATATGCATGACTATTACAAGTACTTGATAGTGGAATCAGAACAGGTCCTACATAACTAGATCTATTGGGTATGAAAAACTTCACCAAATTCTAAGTGGAAAAAGTAGCATAATTTCGTCAAAATCCTTGACAGAGTAACGTCCTCCTGCCTAGAAGTAAGGATGATGGTCATAAACAACTGTTCCAAGTTTTAAAGCATATACCTCAAAGGACAAAGAAAAAATTAGTATAGTATGACAACTTATTCAAAAGTGTGATGCAGACATCAATTCCAAAGTGAAAAGGATTGCTCCCCCTAATCATTGATATTCGTAATGTATAATTATGATACTATATCATCAAAAAAGGTCTTGTAGCCTAATTTTGATTATGTACCTTATGCAAAGCACCACTTTTATAGATGGTTTATCATTAATGAAATGAAATATTTAACTACAACAACAATAGACTATGATGCCAACTAAATGGTTGATAAATTCTTTTTATGAATATATTTACTCTTATAACCATAAACAGCTAAAACTTGCTAGTATCATTGTCTTAACAATTGGATTCTAAAAACATGTTAAATCAATCATTATACTTTTTGATACCTTTTACTTAATAATATTACATTTCTGTCATATATAGGCATCCATTACTTAAATTCTTTAACTTTCTTTTCATCAAATAACAAATACTAGTAATTTGAAATTGGCCTAAATACAACTAATGCAACAATGGGGACTGTGGGATAAAAAATTATAAATTCTGTAATGGCCTTATTCAGAATATATGACATTATTATGGCAACTCCCTGTTGACTGTCTGAATGTTAAAATGCTAATAACATCTTTTTTTTTCGTATTTGCAATTTATATTTTCCACAATTAATGTATAGCCTACTCCAAGGAATATTCAGAAAATTCCATTCCAAATGTTCCAACAGTAATTGAAATATATTTATAAATTTGATTAGGGCAATCGTGTTCTAGACTACATAGATATACTTTTGACATTTCAAATTCAAATTAAGGTCTTTCAAAATTAGAAAAAAGTAAGAAAATGACAATTCTAACTGCAATGCTATTATGTCTGAGGGCTGGTTACAGAGTGTACACCCGGGAATTATAGAAAGTAGAAAATGATAAAAGTGTCCTCTTTCTATCCCCCTTTCCCTGTAATAAGAGTTTCTATATAGTATACTATCATTAATCTTTTTTTTTTTGAAATTCATAAGTTTTGAAATATTGATTGATATAAAATAATTGTACATTAAATTCCATTCTAACATTACAGTATATAAATAATAAATAAGAGCATACAAAATCGTCACTAGTGCAGTAACAGGTTAACTCCTATTGAACTATAATTATAAGGAGGTAACCTGTTCTTGCGCTAAGGTCACGAACTATACATTTGAAATAATTGAAAAAGTTTTCTGAGTATATGAACACTGGACATGACCTTAGAATAAAGTTGGCATATAAAATGATACATACCTGTTAAGTCTAAGTTCTAGTATATGTATCCTGAACATGGCTTGACTACAATATTCCAGGTAAGATTCCTCATCATCTTTCAACATAGACACCTGGTTCTGCTGATACCAGGCTTGTTTCTTCTGTAGTTTTTGTGTCTCCTACAAGTCATACAATAAATAACAATACATGAATAATAATAATGATGATGATATGTTACAATAATAATGGGAGAAATGCATTAACTCTTAACCTGCTAGAATGGAAAAGGATAAAGCATTGCACACCAGTATAGAGCCAGGTCATCCTGCACTTTTGTACTGTTTGACAAGGCTCTAGTGATGATAGTTCAACTTCTATTTTTGATACTGAAAAAAGTTCAAAAATCAAAACTGGGCAATTATATCATTAAAATCAGAGGGCTAAGTGTAAAACATAATTCAGACACAATCAAAGAATAAATCTGATTTGCTCAACTTGTTTTACCTTCGGTATATACACATATATATTATTATGAACATACACATACATCAAAAGTGTGAAATGTAAATAATAATTATGGGCTAGTTGTTTGGATGAGAAAAGTTAAATAACATGTGGTCTCAAATTGTGTTTCCATCCAAATATTCCACCCAATATTTTGATAAATGATAAAATATGTGTTCAAATCTATCATTTTAATTAACAAGAGACAGTAGGCTTGAGTAAGAAAAGGAACATAACTCTGTAAAATGGTAAAACAAAGTTATGAGATCTGTACCCATCATGTTACATAATCACAGAAAACATTCCCTTCAGCAGTTTTGAAGATACAAACTTTCACTTTTAAAAAAAAAATAATGGAGCTAAAGCTTGACAAATTAATTATTGTGACTGACTCTCATTGGTTTAAACCAAACATTTCAACTATACTTCCTGATATGGTATCAGAAAAAACTTTGGAGTGGCACATTAACAATCTAACCAGCTTTCATTGCATTCAAGCTAAATTTTACTTAACAACTGAAGGTAAAATTTCTGCTATATGTCTCCCCTCAATAAGATGAAATTAAGTCAATAAGTGACAGTTTTGCAAGACAGAACTTCATGAAATCATCATAAATTTCACAGCTTCACAGACTTATTCCACAGACAATATTTTTGAAAGAATTATCTACACCACAAGACAGTATAATGTGAATAGTGTCATGAAAAAGGAAATAATAGAAACAGACAAAACAAATATTTAAGTTTAATGGAGGCCGACTTATCTATAAAGTACTATCAAAGGCCGACAATTCTATGTTTCTTGCCGTCTGCGTTTCTCAAGTTAAACAAGAAACTTGTAAAGAAATATCAATGAACTGTGCATCAAAACTTAATTTCTATCAAAGTTAACTTTTATAAACAAGTAAATCAAGAGAAGGAGAGAACGCTCGTCAAACATCAGGATGGTTTGTATACTGGTTTATTCTAGGATCTACAGGTTTTGGTCTTTCAAGACATTCATCAGGATATATTTCAATGATACATGATTACTGAAGTACTAAAAAAGAGGGAACAGAATGTGATGTATGTTACTATAAATAGACATATAAATGAGTTTAAAGTAAACTTAATCTATTGTTTCAACAGCGAACAATGAAGCAGCATTTTTGAAAATAGGGGGTCTTTCTTTAACACACTGGGAAAAATAACACAATATTTTTGCAAAAAAGGAAGAAAATAATTTATTATAAATTGAATTTTAGTGGAAAACCTGCATGATTTAAAAGAACAAAAAATATGCCTGTAAGTGGCCTTTGCTGTACAAGGAAACATTCCCTGTGAAGTATTAGGCTGGTTTCTGATTGAATTGTGCAAAAAGGTTGTAAAGCTTTCTTTTATGTCACATATCTTTTACTGTTTTGCATCTAGTCCTGTAGCTACTATTTGTCTATTAACAAATAATGTTTGAGAATTCCAGAGCTCCATATAATATTATGTACTTTAAATATTCATTTTCAGGAAAGATAGACATTTTAGGTTTACATAATTACAGAGAAATTTTATAATCTAAATTAAAGATGTTTGTCAAGGGAAACGTTTTTTCTAGCCATCAAGTCTTCAAATTTGAATTACAACTGGAAATTATTTCAACAATTATTTTTTCAAGTCAGTAAACTAAGCTATTAAGTTTTTGGTAAAGACAAGACTTATCGTTGTTAGTTTTAGGGTATTTAAAATCAAGTTAATATCAAGCAGTCTATCAGCTATGAAAATGCATGCCCAGATCGACTCTGATTTATTTGAGAATCATTTGATTAATCTAGTTGAATACTTTTAATTCAATGGTATCATTTATATTGCAATCATAATTACTAACAAATGAACAGGAAAATGAAATTAATTGTTTTTAGTTTGACATTAAATGCAAAAAATACGGAACAGAACTGAGAAGGCAGACAGATAGATGTTTTATAAAATATAATATATTCATAAATGATGCCGGCCAATTATTCAATTAGTGGAGATATATTACGAATATATGAGTGACCTTAATCTACTGATGCAAAAAGCTATAAAGGTCTTGTAGTCAATAAGGGCAACTACTCCTTTGAGTTTAAGGGGTTGAATAAAAACTAGGTTGATTACAATTTAAAACACAGACAGACCAACAAACTTTGGCAAAACAACATACCCTCTCTTCTTCCAAGGGGAGCATAATGAGGCAAAAGACACAACAATGATGCAGAAATCACTTGATATAAATGTACCTTTTCAAATCTAGCTTGTATAAGGTTAGCCTTATCAATAAGCCTTTGTTTCAAATCAGCAAGACAATCTTCCTTCAGTTTGTAGGCCTGTTGTCTAGTGATCTTTTCTGGGTCACCGATCTGGGCGAGGAATGGTGCTAGGTAATCAATCTCCATTTCTTGTTTACGCATTTTCTCCTCAAGCTGTTGTCTTTCCTGAAAATGTAAAAGAGAAATGTGAAAAAATGTTGAAAAAAATGTGAAAATGTGTTGAAAGAAAATTTGAGCAAACTATCAAAAAGATGTGAAATACCTGAGAAAAAGCTAAACTGATTTGTATAGAAAATACAATGAATAGTTGTTTTTTTTATCACATTTACATCAAGAAACTTATACTATAGTGTCCGTGGCAACATAAAACTTTGTCGACCTAAATCTATAAAAATCTTCCAAGTTCAAAGAACTAATTCAACTCAGTTTTTTTTTGCAATAAGTTTAACAATGTTGCATTAAAGCTGTGATACCATGTTTACAGAATTTCTCTCTGTCCTTATTTTCTGAATCACGAACATAGTACATTTTCAGTGCTTGCTGACATTTTTTTCAAAATTATGATGAAAGTAGGTTGGTGCTAAATGATAATTAACTTAGCAATTTGATAAGGCATTTTAAAAGTTCACTTAGCTTGAAGCATTGCTGAAAATTGCTTTTCTCTATTTTATATATAACACTTTATATAATCTAATTCTGACATGAAATGCTACACTTAATTACATGTGAAATGACATTTTGTGAAGTATTTTTAACTCCAAATAACAAAGTAAACATCAATTTGCACTTTCATATACTAATCATGTACAACAATGTAAAAATACAAAACAATACAATGTACTTTTGCTGTTTGAAAAAAAATTCATGCAACTTTGAACCTCTAAAACTTTGAACATCAAAATGTATTTTCTTGTAACAGAAGTGGTACATGTAATTAAAAAAATTTTTTTTAAGAAAATGCTAAAACAAAGCCTACCAGTTCTCGTCTATGTTTCTTTGCCTTCTCATTTCTTTCAGTGTCGTACACAGAGATATCAAGTTCTTGTTTAGACTCCTCCTGCGTACGATCATTAAGAATCTCGCGAACTTCCTCCTCTGAGTCGCGTACGGCCTCGATACTCTTTGTCTCTTGTTCAAGCAAGTATAGTAACATCTCATACAGCTCAACTTGTTTATTAGAAGGTAGATTCGGATCAACCTGAAAATATAAAACATTATTGGTTCAACTTAACCCTACAGAAACAAAACAAAGAATCTATATGTGCAATTATAAACCTGTCTTAGTAGGCAGCAAGGACCAGGGCAATACACTGAAGAAAATAAGCTCTTTAAATTTTGTAACCTTAGACTTGGGCTAATGGTTGATATTCTTTGAGAAAATTCATCATGAGAGGAATAAATAATTTATGATGTTTATTAACTCTGATGAACATGTCCCATTCTTAGTTTGAACCTATTCCCTGTAAATATAGTATGGTTTATACAGAATTTATTTTAGTTCGATTGTGTAGGAAGCTATAAGCTTAAAGACACACTTTTCAATCCGTTCCTGGAACCAACTAGTACAGAGCAATGAGTGTAAAGTATCTTACTCAAGGAAACAATGACTTGCCCCTGACAGGGTTTGAACCCATGCGGCTAGCGATCATGAGATTACTAGTCCGACGCATTAAATATAGATAAGCAATTTTTACTTAGTTAAGGAGAAAATGGTATGTACCATTTAATTTACGTCTGGACCAATAACTTGTGCGCATTCCCTCTCTCCATTTTTCAAGAATAATTATTTTAATTGTGAAAAATAACCCAAAAATGATAAGCATTTAAATGCTTGAAAATCAATAGGACTAAGAATCACATAAAAATGCAATTTTCAACTAAATTCTGAGTATATTTCTTTATTATCCTTTGTTAAAAGTGCCCCAGTTGAACAAAATTTAAATGTAAGAAATTTAAATTTTATGGTTTTAGGCATTTTGAAACTCAATGGATTTCCTTAAGTGCATTTAATATAAAGGAAATACAACAAAATTATGGAAAAAAGAAATATTTAAGCATGCCCTGAGAAGAATTTAATAATTTCCCAATTTATTGTGAATATCTTGCTTAATCTTAAAACATTTATTCAAATTATGCTTCAGCTATATTTTGCCTATAATTCTTTGGTTTAATTCTGATATTGTGTTTGTTCAATTTACCAGATTGGAGTTTCACTTAATCAAATATTATGTTTAGAATGAATAAGTAAGTTGACATAAGTAAATTGATATAAGTAAGGAAATACTCAATTTCTCTACTTTCCCAGACAAATAATATCCAAATTTTTTTCTACACACTTGTATCAATTTTTGAATGTGGACATTAAATCTTGTATTATAACATGGTATTTTTTTCCTTTTGTATTTCTTAATACCACTAAGTTAAATATGTACACCAATCTACCCACATTGTCCTCGTCTGGTCAACAAGCTTCAGAATGAAAATAATGTGTGTATAACATTAAACTTGAGAAACCATATATTTGCAAAAGTGTTACTATAGTAACCCTATTTATTTGTGAAAGTTACACTTTACATGTTATTGAAACTAAAGGTGAATGCATTTATATAACTAGTTTTATCAATTGTTATTGTTATGTAATCACTTATTTACAATGCCTTTTGCATCCAAACAGTTATTGGCCTTAAATACTCTTCAAGGTGAAAAAACAATAATACAAGACTGCATTTGACATAGAAACAAGATAATATTTCCAAGGTCACAAGAGCTATTTAAGATGTAGAAAAAATATGAGAGAGAGAAAAAAATCTAATAGAAAAACATCACCATTTCCTCAAATTATTTTCAATTTTGACTTAATTGATGACATTTTAGTAGAAATACCTTTGATGGATTTGTATTTGATTCACCCTATTAGGCAAGTCATAAACATTGGCAGTTTGGGAGAATGGATTTCAATAATTTAAAGGATAATTAAATGATGAAAGATTTTTTTCCCATTAAATTGCCTATGTTCCCGATGATGTCTTTGTTCAAGACTTTCAACGAACCTTTAAGACATATGATGGACATAAAAAGTGATCATATGTTTTAATATAATTGATCATGACAAATAAGATTTATATTAAAGACTGTTGTGCTAGAATTATATAGAAAATTAGTATACTGTCAATTGCATATTAGAATAACAAATTTATTGCACAAAAAATATCATTAACAAACTTTTATCCAATTCATTTATGATAAATTTAATGATGTATTTCTTTATTTATGACATTTGAAACAGAGAAATTACTATTATATTTCATTAACCTTAAAATGACATTTTTCATTAATTTCATAGGATGAAAGGTCATTGAAACGTTATAATTATTTTGGCAAAAGAATTAATCATGATTATTAGTCCTTAAAACTTATTATAAAAATAACACATGCCATCAGGGTAATAGTGTATATTAGTAAGTGTCACCTGAGAATTGAAATATCCACCTTGGGTGTTATTTCAGATCAAGGCTTGGCTTGGTAATATGCACATTAAGATTTTACCCTTAGAGACATGCATTATCTTTTTATTATACCGAACCAACATTGTTATGTAATTTTTTACCACAATGCATTATTACTCCAATTCACCACTGCAACCAGGGGAGAGAACTAGAACATTATGTTTTCTTAAGTCATTATAGATGACACACCCCTGGGGAATATTGAAAAAAAAAATTATTGACCAGGTGATATTCATTTCCAGGTAGAAATGAATATCACCATGTGAGCAAAATTTGTATCCAAACCAGCAAAAAATCATCTTCAAACCAGTGAAATTCATTCTAAAATCAGCAAAGTCAAATGATACTTGTTACATACTGTATAAGAGCTTAATTTAGTGACATGGAAATATTTGCGATTTTTGTGAATGGAAATATTTCACAAATATTTGACGGTGCAAAAATTATTTCTTTTTATCAAACTTTCTTCATTTGAAAACATGTTTTCATACAGCATCTCACATGAACAAGTTTGACTGTTCAGGTACTGAGATTAATTTTTCTCACTGCTTGTTTGTTTAAGTTTGGCCATTACAAAGCACAAATGTTATAATGAAACAATATATGTGTCCATAACACAATATTCCTATAATAAAAGAATGTTTCAAAATATGACAAAGAAATGTGTGATAAGGTCTTTTATCAAACTTACAATGTATATAGCAAACAATTATATAAATTATAAAGGTATTGATAAATACAATAACAGCTTATTTTTAACATGTACCTGCTTATTTATGATATCACAAAGACAGTAATAAATTCAAGAAATCATATTTTCGCGAATATTTCTGCATGCAAAAAGTCTATTTTCTGTCATTTGCAAAATTTTTGTGACATATAAATATCTACTATACATATCTTAAAATGAAAAATAATTTTTCATTTATAGTAAAAGTTTGTTCTTTAAATCATACAAGATATTCAATCTTTCAGGGAAGCAATAGCAGAATACTCCATTTTAATGCCAGAAGAGTTACTTTTCATGATTTGATAATTTTTAGACAAATAAATGCCAGTCTTGTTCTTTTCTTTACAAGTTCCTGTTTTATTTTGCATTTTTACAGTGTTTAAAAATTTCAGTTTAAACAATGTTTTTATTATTAATCTTTTCATTTACATAACTTACATTACAATAGTTTTTATCATTTGAGTAGGAAGCTTGAAAAGCTTTTTTAAAACTTTCAGTCTCTCCAAACTATAGATACAAAACATTAAAAGGTAACACAAGGGAGAGAACAACTACACATTTTTATACAAACACAAAGCAAGTGATTTCCCCTTAAATCTATTTTGCTGCAATAGATCATGCAAGCATTCTCGATTTTAATCATGAATGGTTTAGTTTGGATGGGTTTAAGTCTCATCAACACAGTAGAGGTATTGGGAATGATAATAATATTGCGACTTTCCAGCTTTACTGGTGAAGGAAGACCTTTTGACCATACATTATTCTGGCACAAACAGGCATCTTATAAGAACCATTGACATTCCGTAAGCTAGCTGGATAGCTTCCTTACATAAAAGAATTCCAAGTCTCTGGCAATTCTTGATAAAGAAAATAAATGAGCCGCGTCATGACAAAACCAACATAATGCGTTTGCGACCAGCATGGATCCAGACCAGCCTGCATCTGCGCAGTCTGATCAGGATCCATGCTGTTCGCTACCAGTTTCTCTACTTGTTATAGGGTTTGTAAGCTAACAGCATGGATCCTGATCAGACTGCGCTGATGCATGCTGGTCGCAAACCCATTAAGTTGGTTTTGTCATGATGTGGCTCAAATATAGAATACAAAGATAAACAGTAACAATAGAATAAATTGTGCGGGAAAAAAAACCCCAACTAACCTGGAATGTTTGATGCATATCTGAGGCATAGGTCAAGGTTGCCCCTTTCTCATCCCAGTTGTGCGGTTTGAGGAATTCTCTAGTAGATGAAGCAATACGTTTGTCCTCGGTGTGATAGGTTATATGTACTTTGTCCTCGGAGCACAGGAACACACACTCTAGAATGTCCTCATTGGCCGGCTTGTTCTTGTTACGGTGAAACTTCAGTAACATTTTCTACATATAAAGAAAAGTTAAGGTTAAGTCTTGTAAAGTAAAGGTAAGATTATATAAACAGTGATATGACTTGTATCACCACACCTATATAATCCAAATGACATTTCTACAATCTATACCTCTAAGCATCACAAGGCTAAATATTGTTGACTTCTAAATTTTAATCATCATAATTTTGAAATTCCCTTACACTATATTATGGGCCATTAAAGCTGCATGATTCTAGATGAGGCAAAATATTTCAAGAAAATTAAACTTGAGAAAAGCGTACTTAGATTTTAAGAAAAGTAAAAAGATTCAAGATTAAAGTAATATTTAACATGTTTGGAGTGATTAATGACTGATTTTGCAACATTTATATATTCTACTGCATAACTAATGCATTAAGAGCTATTTGTGTATGTTTTGACGTCTTCTTGGTAATTAACTTTAATTGTAAGTGCTTTTTGCAAATGGGTAAATTACTGTCTTTGCTTTGTCCACAATATTTTACTTTTAGAAACATTTTTGAAATTTTCATGAAAATTAGCATAAATCTGCAGGCATGCTGCTTTAAACATTTAAAGCATGAACAGGCCATTAAGCAGAATTGATGACTGACAAGTAAGACAACTTACAAGAATAGGTCTGTGTGACTGGGAGGAAGAGCCGTCCTGTGGACCAAATTTCTTCGGTTTCTTTCCAAAATCAATGTGTTTATAATACAAGAAATCATCTCTGTTGTTAAAGTGCTCCGTCATTTCAGTAGGTGTCTCAATACGTTTGACAAGACCGTCAACTCTCGCCTCGTCGTAGAACAGCATGGTTCTCTCACTTTCCGGGCCTGGGCTACCTGCCTTATACTGGTGCTCTGCAAAGTAGGAACCAGTTATTGTAGTTATAAATAAAAGACAGCCAAATGCCATGTCTTATGAAATGAAATAATAAAATTTGAAAATATCAAAATTATCATGGATAAATTGTTTAAAAAGTAATATTGTATTTTCAGACCATATTTTACATGTACATGCAGCTTCTTTTTGTATTTTCTGATCGCAAGATCAGTAAATACATAGCTAACATCCACGGTCTAACACAAAATTTCCTTACAGACCTAACAACGCAAAGTAGTTCTCACTCAGAACTGCTTAAAAACCAGCAATTTAAAAGAAAGACAATTTTTTAATGTAGGCATTTAACGAATTACAGTGCATTAAACGTTTAGAGTAGTCAATAGAAATATGAGGTTACAATAACAAATTTCGCGGATGAATATCTTTTTTACCCAATGAAAAATGTTCGGCTATTTCCGTAAAGCTTAATCAATGAAAATGCTCTTTTTAGCTATGTCGATTACCGAATACTCCAGAGCGTAGTACACAAATAAATCTGACTGTCGAGTAGTGGAATATATACATGTCGTACTGTTTTGTCGAGAAGATTTTCGCTAAATTATTTCATCAGTGTTAAACGTGAACAAAATACCTCGAAATTAATAAGGATTACAAACACGAAATGGAAATTCTCAAATTAGAATTACAATGTATTTGTTTTTATTCAAGCTTCTTGTGTATTACTTCACCGTGGTGCAGAGGTAGCGCGCTCGTTTAGGGTTGTGAGAGCCAAAGGTTCAAATCCTAGTCGAGGCAACTTTTTTTTGAAGTGTCTTTTTTAAAGGCAGTAGCCACGATATGCAAGGATAAAGTGTGGCTGTCATTTTTTGATGCAACTCTAGTCATGCTAAATTCCACATGTATCAATCTCAAACTGTAATAGACGCAGTCGCTGCGTAAGATTAATAATAGTATATAAAAATAAACTTATACAGGAAAATACATACAGATAGTCAGTATGATTTAGATTGCAAAGATCAGAAAATACCACAGAGGTTGCAGCCCTTTGATTTATGGTAGAGATTGTAACGAATATGGTACCTTTAGGATTAAATTATGTTTGCTTATTTAGGAAAAAAATGAAAATGCCATATGTCATTTTTCCAGCACTGCTGCTAAAAGAAAACCTTAGGTGCAACTTAGTGTACTAATACAGGGACTGTAAGCTAGATGGAAAATTCGACAAGCCACCTGATTGACTGATATCTGTGTCATAAGAAAGTAAAAATTTTCATTGCATTCAAGGATAAAACAAAAATGAGACCATAATTATTCTATGTATACCTTTTACACATTTAGCTCTTCCAGGATTGAAGTATTCTGTGATCCAGGTTGTCTGATGGTTATGTACTCGGTTATATAGTTTATCCTCACGATGAGCAAAATACTCCCGTGTCATTATCAAATCTGTTACTGAAATAGTCAAAATACTCCCGTGTCATTATCAAATCCGTTACTGAAATAGTCAAAATACCCCTGTGTCATTATCAAATCCGTTACTGAAATAGTCAAAATACTCCCGTGTCATTATCAAATCTGTTACTGAAATAGTCAAAATACATTGTGTCATTATCAAATCTGTTACTGAAATAGTCAAAATACTCCCGTGTCATTATCAAATCTGTTACTGAAATAGTCAAAATACTCCCGTGTCATTATCAAATCCGTTACTGAAATAGTCAAAATACTCCCGTGTCATTATCAAATCCGTTACTGAAATAGTCAAAATACTCCCGTGTCATTATCAAATCCGTTACTGAAATAGTCAAAATACTCCCGTGTCATTATCAAATCTGTTACTGAAATAGTCAAAATACATTGTGTCATTATCAAATCTGTTACTGAAATAGTCAAAATACTCCCGTGTCATTATCAAATCTGTTACTGAAATAGTCAAAATACCCCTGTGTCATTATCATATCCAATACTGAAATTAGTCAAAATACTCCCGTGTCATTATCAATCTGTTACTGAATAGTCAAAATACTCCCTGTGTCATTACCAAATCGTTACTGAAATAGTCAAAATACCCCTGTGTCATTATCAAATCTGTTACTGAAATAGTCAAAATACCCCTGTGTCATTATCAAATCCGTTACTGAAATAGTCAAAATACTCCCGTGTCATTATCAAATCTGTTACTGAAATAGTCAAAATACTCCCGCGTCATTATCAAATCTATTACTGAAATAGTCAAAATACTCCCGTGTCATTATCAAATCTGTTACTGAAATAGTTAAAATCAATTGGAAACACTGTATCTCAAGTACTTATGTGTTTTCACATCATTTGAGAAAGTTATATAGCTTTATAAAGAAATACATGTATATTCATAATTATACAATGTATAACTATAAGTCAAAGCTCAAAATTTTACAAAATATATCAAATAACAAGATTTTCAAGATCTGACTTGGTTTTCTGTACCACATCACCAAATTATTACAAGAAGATGGCAAGAGGAACATATTAATAAAGAAGAACATACAATCTGTGTCAACATAAATGGACATAACAGGATATCTGACAGGCTATACTAGTGTCCTTAGTGACCTAGGCCTGTATTATTTATGACCAGCATGTCCATGAGTTGATGTTCAACCAGTAAACAATCAGGGTTTTTATAAAGGGCATTATTATGATCCCATATTAACAGAAAGTCTGCTGACTTTTCTGAAAAGAGCTGTACAATATTTGGTAAATAATGAAGTAAAGTTGAAAATTAAAGTTGACTGAATTTACCCATATAACCAGTGCAGACCAAGATGCTTCGGTACACATGTTCCATCTGATCTTGGTCCACACTGCTTTGCTATTCAGGCAATACCTTTTTAGAAAATTTCTATAAAATGATGAATGGTTTTGTCCAGAATGAAAGATGGACAAGTCCATTTAAGATATTTAGAGTGGTAAGGTATAGGGCTACCACTAGATAAATGAGTTTTAATAAATAAAGAATACATAAAGGTAAAGAATACTGTAGAAACTTACATTCTCTATCGGAGTAGACTGATAATCTGGACACAAGGCCATCTTTCATCAGATAGTGAGCAAACTTCTCTAGTTTAGCTCTCTTGTACAGTTTGTTCTTCTTTCCTTGTGGACATCTCATCTCAAAATCTACATAAAATAAATATACCGTTATTTAATAATATTAACTCAAATTGATAAAAATATGCTACAAATTGATCCCAACTGATTTTTGTAATGTATTTACAGTACTGAGAATTTCAAACAGTCTGCTGCTGATTAAAATTGATTGGGTTTGAAACAACAAACATCCAAATTTTTGTTAATTTTCAATTTATGAGAGTAAATTTTCAATTTATGAGAACTTGAAAATTGTTTTAATGAGTGGGTGTTGTCAAGTGCTCGATAAGGGGTTTAACTTAGCATCAGGCTTGTTAGAATATGTGGATAGATTTCTCTTACTCTTTTTAACAATTTTAATAAACAATCTAGACTACATTCTGCCATATTTTGTGTTATACATTTAACTTTAACCTGCATTTTGAACATTTAAAAAAAATCTTAAATTATACATTCTTTATAAGTTTGATTTTTATTTTTTGAAGGTTTATTTTACTCATCTGAAGGCATGTCACTTTAAAGTGCCACTAGCACAGAATCAAACCCAAATCTCTGGTAATAATTATAAATAAATTGATTTCAGGGCAACCTTGATGAATAAATAATATAAAACCAAGAATTTGCATAAAGATTACACACCTTTCTTGGAGATTCTGATTGGTTCTACCCAGGTAGGAGGCAGGTCCAGGTGCTTTTCCTGATCTTCTTGGGCTTCCTAATAGAAAATAGTAATTTAGATATAACATAACAATAACTACTTAACATATTTATATATGATAGTGACTCTTTGATTTTAGATTAGAAAACAAGGAAGAGAAAACGTAAGAGTGTAAACTATGATATACAAGAGAAATATTGAAGTTTTAGTGCTGAATAGATGATGTTTTATTTTTATATGATATTGTCATTAAACAAATGTGTAAAACATTCAGGTTAAACCTTGAAACCATTAGAAAGCTTTTTCAAAATTTCAAAATCAAATGCCAGAATTTTAACTGCTGAAACAAACAAATCTCTGGTTATAAAATCACATCAAACTTGGTTGTTCACAAGAAAATATACACATCACATTTCAAATTCATGTAAAAAAATATCTCTTTTCGGAAAAGGTGTAATTTTGCAAAAGCATGTGATTGTCAATGACTGCATAGGCTGATTTGATGGGAAAAAAATCATCAAACAATGGTAAATTTACTAGTTTGTTATTGATAGATATGCATAATTTTTGTTTAGAAGGAACATAAGATCTAAAACATGTCTTAATCACTGTAACTGCAGTGTTAACCAAGTTCAAGAAAACCAAAATTATTTGATAAAAGAACATATATCATAATTATATGAATACACATAATGTTTTTGTCTGTAATTTCTAAACTTACAAAAGTTTCATAAGATAAAATCATGTATGAAGTAGTTAAGCAATAATTAGCATGTGGCCATCTTTATGATGGAAGTATATTCCAAATCCCTACTTCAAATTGATGCATTTTAAAGCAGGCGGGTAAGTTGGGATAAATGTGTAAGCATGTATCTCTGCAGGGTGAAGTCTAAAAACCTTTGAAATTCTTTCAAGACAAAGCAAAATGTAAAACTGACAGTTGAAACATTAAAGTTGTTTAATTCACCAGCTGTTCATATTTGACCTTTGAAATAATAACAATTTTGTTGATTCAGGTATATTTATATACAAAGTACATGCTTGATACCTTGTTGATTAGAAATAAAATCATGCTCTTTTTAAATATATTCTGAATTATTTGTGCAAATCATATTCAACTTACTGAATTTAAAACAGCTATTACCAACAAAAAACATATTTAGTACAATTGATGAATGAACAAAAAATGTAATTATAAGATTAATAGTTACAATAAATAGACACTTAAGCAATAAAGAAAATGTGCTTATCTAGGATTTTTTTGCAAGAAAAAAATACAGCATCAACCTCTTGGACTTTACAAATATATATCAACTGATAAGTGTTAACACTTGTTGGTAATTAAAAGTACCGATATTTTCTTATGTAGTCAATACTACTTCAACGTTTTATTATATTTCCCAACAGCAAACAGTTGTTCTACAATTGATATTACAGAAATAATTACCTTTTTTGTACCACTTCACCGAGTTCAAAACAATAATAATTTGCCATAATATCAGGATGAACACTTGTCTGATAGGAGATTTGGAAAAAAACTGAAGTGTTTTTTACATAATGCCCTATCATAATTATTAATTAAGGTTATTTAGTGTTTTGGGTTCATACCTTAATACCATAACATACATGTAATCTTTATTTTTAGATTATACATAAATGTTTTATACTTTTGACACTTTCAAAGCATGTTTTCATTGTGATTTTTTACCATACTGACATTTTTGAAATATTGTAAATTCTTTGCTTTTTTAATTACTTATGGAATAAGAATATCAGGTACATACATCCATACATGATATAACCATAGTCATGCACTTTGGCAGAATTCTACTATCCTACCCACAGACTGGCTTGGTGGCTGAAACCTTTGTGATAAAGATTCAAACCAAAACAGGCAGGGTGAAGTTTAATTCAGCAAGCATGGCCATCATGAACCTCTAGCACCACCAAGAATTACTAAAAGAGTTTTTGGAACAGAAAAAGCGTCTTTTTTTTTCATTATCACTATTAAACAATACTGAAACACAAAAACATCACATGTTGCCCATTGTGCCCGTTGTAAAAGTACATCATTATTTCATAAACAAGCATGCATTATATTGTTAGAAATCTCTGGTAATTAAAATTACTTTTTAATGTTAAGATTAACAGCTTTCTAAAATACTATGAAGCTTTGTTTTAGGGTAAAAAAACAATCTAGCAATTCCTTCTGTGTAAATGCAGTATGTGAGGCAATTATATCCTAAAAAAACATGCAGTTAAAAGTATACAATCACATCACACATAGAATGAGATATATGTGTAAAGAAATATGAGGACATATGTGTAGTTTTTTGTCTACACAGAGCATATTTATTACATGATCATCAGAGTACATAGTGTTATCTCGCCTGTCATCCTGAAAGTGACAGAATAAAACATAACAAAATATATCATTATACAACATTATCTTATTTTACAGTACTGATACTTCATATTTAACAGTTGGATATAACCCTTTATCAGTCACTGTACATGGTTTATTGGAAAAAATTAACGCAATTCTTCAAATAGCTAAATATTTTGAGAAATGTCTCCTTTTTTCCCTATGAAAACCGATTTTCTAATTCCAAGTGAAAATATATATCATATTTCACTCATACTATCAGGCTATGTAAATATTTGTATGTTTTTATTCCAGTCAGAAATAATCCATAATCCCTTATTCACAAATTCAAAAACCCTCAGATATGTTTCCATTTGAAGCAAGTTTGTCTTAATATCCACTCTTGAATTCCTGGAATCCATATAAAGGAGGTGTAGTTAAAAACAATGCACACAAAAAAGCTTTTTTTCTGAGTTAAAAAGCTTTATTGCATTGAAACATGTTTTTTTTTTCAAACAAACCTAACTGACAAAGCAGGACACAAATGAAGCAAACAATATGAGATAATTTACATAATGTCATTTAATAAAGCATGTTTATTTCTTGTTAACTGCATCAATGTATGTCAAATCCCTTAGCCAACATTAAAAACATCTTAACCCTTAACTTGCTGATACAGTAATCATTCTTTGCCACCAGTATAGGGCCAGACCAACCTGCACATCCATACAGTCTGACCTGGCTCTATAATGCTTTTAATTTTCATCCTGATATCGCCAAAATTGATATCGGAAGTCCCATAAATGAAAGGCAATCAAGTCAATTTAAGAAAGTCAGCAAGTTTATGGTTCAAAGGGTAAGTCTGCATTAGATGCATTAATTTAAGGCTTAAGCAAAATACCAGCATCAACATGCACATATCAATTCCCCTTTAAAATCATAAAACTTTTTTTTAATCAAGCTATTAATACCTTCAAAAACTGAAATAAGTTTTAAAATATGATTTCAAATGAACATTAATAGCATCTACAACTAAAAAGATCTAAATTTATAATCAAGATTTTTAAAATTTAAATGTCAGTGTTTGAAATAAATGGCAGCCAGTACTAGGAATGACTTTATTTCCAAACAAACATTTCAACCCAACTTACATTTATTTACAATGTCTGAGGTATAAAGTCCAAAGACAATTTCAGTGAATAATTTTGGAGACCAATGCCCAAGACCCTCTGTGGACAATCTGAAGGCAATTGTAATAATTAACATAAACAATTCCTTTAAACAATGCACACCTAGTACCCCATAATCCACCAGTTCAAACACTGACATGAATTAGCGACTAACTTTGTAAATAAGCCTAGTTTGTAAAGCATTTAGCTTAAGATTTCTTTTAATCTAATACAGTATCTGTTATTATAGATTGAAAAAGAAATTCATTAAAATAAAAACGAAAATAACTGTAACTTCATAGCTGAAAATGTAATTTCACAAATTGAAATTTCATTTCAATATCAATATAATATAGTATGTCATATAATATAGTATGTTTTCCTTTATTTAAGATTTATACAAGTTGCTAAACTGTTGCTCAGAACTCAAGATTTTTCAAGACTACTGTTATGTTATAATACTCAGTCTTAAGATAATCATATATATAATATTATATAATAATGATGTTCATATTGACAATAAAATGCCCTTTGTTTTCTCGTTTTCAAATGAAGACAAATTTTATATTATCCACTCTTTCTATCTCTTTCATAAAAAGCTAATTGTCTTGCTATGGTAACTATTTGTAAATAAAAATCTTCAGAGTAAAGGACAAAGAATAAAACCTCTATGAAAACAAAATATTGTGCTGTTTATACTTCATAATCTAAGAAGAAAAATGAGTGTAAAAAAGTAGAAAAAAAACCAGCAACAAAAAACATCCAAACGTCTTGGCAACACTGTCTTTATTTTTCCAATGGGTATTTTCTGCATACAGACACTACTAAGGTTAATTTAGTGACTGTCCCTCTTTATTTGTATGGTGGAGAAAGAGCTCAGGTGTAACTATGCATAGTTTAAGAAATGGACCCACCCCTGAGTAGAACCACCTACCTGCTGCTGAGAGGTACAGATAGTTTAACTTTCTCATTTACAAGTTCCAATGTCCCTTAAAGGATTCCGCCCCAATTTAGTTAGGGAAAGTGATTTCAAGTCAATGACCTTAACCACCTCAGCACACAGGCTCCCCCCTCACCCTCACCCACTCCAAACCCCCTGTTTTGAACTAGTTTGATCACTTCAGTGATAACCAACAGTGTTGCTTTAGAACATTTGATATAACCTCATACCTCTTCATCATCCAGACCATCCATGATGTCATCCTCAGTCTCCGGAATCTGAAGTAAAGGTTTGTCTGTGTTCGGAAACATGTATTCCCAGCGTGTACAATCCCCAAGATCATAGCTCAAATTCTGTAACATGAATATTGATTCAATAATTATACAAGGAAGCAACATTTAAGCCTTCAAAAATATTCATACTCTAGATATTCAATTCCATTCTTATGTTAAGATGGGAAAATCTTTTACACAAATGCAAATTTTTTACACAAATGCCACAATGTGGAAAGATGGTATGAGAGGTCAACGCATCTGACTAGTAATCTCAGGAGCCCTAGCTGTATGGGTTCAAACCCCATCAAGCTGTTGTTTACTTTAACAAGAAACTTTGCATTCACTAATCAGTACCGGTTGGTTCCAGGAATGGATTCAAGATTATGTTGAAAACACTAAGCTTCTCACACAAAATCACACTAAACTAAATTCTACAAACTAAATGCCATAAAGTATAGGTTAAAAGAAGTGAATTTAGAAAATTTTGAATAAAGTTACTAGTAAAAAATTGTATTTCACAGATAATGAAATTTTACTTATACATCAAAAGAAGTAACTCAGACCTTAACTCCCTCTGAACAGTCCTGCATGTTGACCCAGTAGTTAACATGGTTCCACACACCCTCTATACCAAGGTAGTTAGTACTTTCTACAGGATGAGACAGTCCGGTAAATGGCTCGACAAAGAAACTCTCGGGTACTTCACGTTTACCAGATAGGATGATTACCCATGAGTGAATACGTAGACCATACAACGGGTCCGGTGGTGGCTTCTCTAGCTCCTGAAACACATGTTTGAAACCTATATAAAAACACTGGTATGTGGCAAATGGAATTTCTGTATTTATCAAGTCTAAGAAGTAAAATACAAGGCTCATTGATTATGGCTTAATGTTGAATTATAGATATATGACAGCAGTCATTTTCAAAAATGTATTACAAATGAAAGCCAACATGAGAAAATAACACTTGACATCATTCACTATTTTTTCAATTGACATTTTGAATTATTTACATATTCAATTCTTTAGCCCTTGCAATAAATATAAGATTTCTGAAATGCTCATCGTTACCTATTCATTTTTATTTTTAACATTTTAAGAGTAATTTCACTTTTTTATTTTTAACGTCATTGACAATGTTTACTTCTTTTGACATCATTTGTAAAATAACGTTAATGGTTGTTTTCTGATGCAGCTATTCAAATTAATGACTTATTGTACCTGATATCCAGTACATTTGTGTTATTATTTAAAATATGCCCAATATACTGAAAGATCATATATAGTAAGAATGGTCAATTTGAAAGATATCTATGTGAAAGATGTGAGATATAAAGTAAATATTTACAGCAAGTCTTTCTTCTTCCTCTGCCCGACGTTTGGCTTCCTCAGCCTCCTTCTCAGACTGAGCTTTAGCTGCCTGTTTACGTTCAAACTTGCTCGCCAGATCTTTCGGAGGTTTTACGGTGTACTTTTTCAGCTCTTTCTTCTTCTCTTCAGCTTTTATCTATAACAAGCAATGCATGTTAACACATGTACAGTTAAACATTGTTCGCTGAAATACCTCCCTTCAATAGAACTCATCGCCAAATCCCGGCAAAATTCCTATGTAATATATATTGTTCTACCTCAGATTGCTAAAACATCAATTGCTCGAACTCTCAAACCTGATCTCTGGTCCCTTCGGCAGAAACATAGTGAAAATCACACCTTTTGGGTCGAACACAAAAAGACAACAAAAGTACATTCTTTTACAATTGATTGTTGACTACGACACTTTAATTCGTAATGGTAAAATGTTCTAAATTAGATATACAGATGCCTTACTGGGTGATTCTGTTTGACTAAATTTTACTGGGGACTATTTTCTTGATTTTAGTATCTCATTTCATAATTGTCCAGACAACAAAGTTCACTTATAGCATGGAGATTAAAGCTTTACTCTAAAGTGATGTTTCATTGATATTAACATGGACATAATTACAAGATATCCCATACAGTAAATTACAAGTCTAACTTTCATCATGGTCTCTTCTATGACCTTACTTGCAGAATCCCATATCCAAGATGGAGAAAAGATCACTAGACCACCAATGCAAGAAACTATTTCAATCAACGAATAAAACAGTTTTCAAAAACAGCTTTTTGTAACATTAGAATCATTTTACTTTTAGCATTTTTGAATTAATGGGTAAATTTATTTGTAATTTGATTTAAAGACTAAGTAACTTAATCATGTGCATACACATTTTTGGGCCTCATCGCCAACATGTTGAGACTTTACACAAATTAAAAATACCTCTTCTTTTTTCTTCAAGAGTGGACATATCTCTCTCGATTCATCGGCCAGACACACCTCTCTGGTAGCGTAACCATTGACAACATAAGCATCGTATCCAGCACCAATCAGAAGGGAGCACAACAGTGTACTGTATTCAAAACAGTTACCTTTCTGTCTCTTTAATATTGTTGTTGGTGACAAAAGGCGTTTTGGCTACAAGATACAAATAATAGCATTTTCATTACAAAAATGAAATATAAAATGTAATAAAATTATCAGAATTATTAAGTAATTTGGCTTTGAATTAAAATTGATATAATGGTTGCAGTTGTTAATCTAGAATCACTTCGATCTTGCACAAGTTTACAAATTAAAGAAGTTAACCCGTTATCACCAGGCACTTACGTGATGATTTCTTGACATTTCACAAACGTAATAACAGAATCTTACCAGTTCATAAGGGGGATCTAGAGTTTCAAAATTTAGATAATCTGCCACAAATTCAGCAGCTCCATCCCAGTTGTATAACTCCTTATACTCTAGCTGAGTTGGTCTAATTGTTGTACATACAAATTTCTAAAAGTGTAAAAGCATTTCATAAATTAAAATGCTTTTAAATGTCACCAATCAATTATTCAAACTGATATTGATAATTACTACTGAAGATATGAAAACTCTGTATTTGCGGACGAGTGAATTCAATTCACAGACAAGTGAATTAAATTGAAGGAGCCTCAAAATAAAATACTTGCAAGCATGATGATTATTTTTAATTGTCTAGCAATAGTTTTCAATATCTCCTGTTTAATGTCAGAGCTAAATGAAAACAAAGATACATTCTCAACAATTTAGCATTTCCAAGAACTCTGGCACTCATATAAAAGATTATACATATCTAAATAATTACATACCAACAAATATCTATGAGATTTGAAATGTAAAGTGCTTAGAACCCCACACATGCTAAAGTCAGGAGATCAACAAGATATTTCAGCATTATATAATATAAAAACAATTTATTTTGTTAAGAACAAACTATTTAAATAATAAACAATTAAATATATTAATATCATAATAATAAACAATTAATACCTCTATGAAGCACTCATTTACTGGGTTCAACAACAAAGGTTTCCTGTCTCTATATAAATGCACATATTGTCGACGGAAGTTTTCTGCAAATTGCAGGACTAAATTTTCATTTGGTAAATTTTCTTTATACGAGGCTGGAAACTCAGCTGGATCAAATACTTCTTTTGGAGTTCTGAAGAGCATTTAAAATTTACAATTTTGATAGTTATAAATACAAATCGAAATAAAATTAAGACACAACTGATGTTTTTTATATTCTACATGCAAATATTTTAAATTAAATCCAACACCCTGTAAGATTTTTAAATCAAAGTCAAGGGACCAATTGATCCCTTTACAAGCATGATAAGCATATAAAATATAGCTTCACACTCATCCTAATCTGTAACTGTGGGTAATTTCATTTAAAACCAGAAAATTTGACAGGATAAAAGAACAATCTGCACCAAATATGTTTTTGAGAGGAGCGTCAGAGCTATCTAAATGAACAGAGTGGAACCCATCAGAATCACCTTATGAATAGCATTCATCTATATGTTTCTACCCCACTTAAGCTGGAAATTCAATAAACATTCATCTCCCTTGTTATCCCTCCGATACAACAATTACTTTAAGTAGTGGTGACAGTAAAATAAGAAATAAGATAACAAAATTTTAGAAGATCTACTGTGTGATTATTTGAAATTGAACACATTTGCCCATATGAATCTTCTACAGTATGAATATGTTATTTTATCATGTACAAAATTACTTGTATCATAGTTTGGGGACCTTTCTGTTGAAAATGTGACATAGTTAAATCGTATACATATACATGCACAGTGCGTTAACTGGAGTGCAGGTATTAGTTACCCGCACTCAAGAGCATGCCCATTGATTGGTTCATTTTGTCCGGGATTTACATATTGTGAAGACAGAGAAAGGGATAGCGATGGAAATATCATATTCAGATGCTCGTTCATTGGTTACATTTTTGTGGGGTTTCATATTGTGGTATCAGGGAACGTGTTTTTATGTTTGACTATGATACAAAAGAGAAAGAACATCAAAACACTCGGCAATCTGATTTATACTCGGGGGCTACGCCCCTCGTACAAATCAGATAGCCTCGTGTTTCGATGCTCTTTCTATTACATATACAACACTCACAATAAGTGCACATACATGTACTTACTCAGTATACCCCAAAACTAATATATTAAAAATGTTAATTTACTTTGGATTTTAAAGAGAAAAAAATTAGATGTTTGCTTAAAATATGTTACACTTCTGTTATGCTTTCAAATCAGTTTATAATGTAATGATAACGTGTTGTCAAAGAATTTGTCATGTTTTCGAACTTTTGATAAAAATATAAACAATCGCGAAAACTGGTAACAAATTTAATTACTGGTCTATTGTAGGAGGATGCACGACGATTTTAGCTAACTCGTCCTTCAAGGCTTGTGCATCTTCTGTAAGCTCCTCATCACTATGAACAGATCCTTCCTCATTTTCTTCCTTTATTGACCCTTCGGTATTTTCTTGTTCGAGCTGTGGTTCTGTGTCCGCCATTTTTGATTACCTAGCGCGTCATGGCAACCCGCACGCTAAAGAACGGTGTACGTGTAGAATCAATACTGACGAGTTTACGAGCAAGTGCGATTTAAATTACCGTCAACCCACTGGTCGAAAAATGACGTTAAATTTCGCGTGCAGATATTTAATAATATGACGTCGTTTATATACTTTTTGCAGGAAAACGACGTAACGTTTACACATACTGAGTACATGTTTTTCTTTTTACTTTTTTCTATTAAAGCTGCACGCCTCCAGATGAGCCAAAATACAAGTATTTCAAGAAATTCAATCTAAAGAAAAATATATTAAGATTTTAAGAAAAGTAAAAACAATCGATATTTAATCAATTAATTACATGTTATGTGCGGTTAATCAGGGGCATAACAAGGCGTACTCCTGTACGCCCGTGCGTACAAATCAATCCTGTATTCCGAAAAATCACATGCGCTAAAAGTTCTAAAAAAAATAGTGATAAAAACAGAGGGGGTAGAGTGGTCTTCATATAGGCCTACTAATTTTTCTATCATTATATAAAAAAGAATCATAACATATACAGTATTAATTAATATCTTTTGAAATGATCTGTATAGCGATATCTTATACAGATTCACCAGAGAAAATTTACGAAAAGCTTAATGTGTCTGGTTCAGCACCGATTCTTGGCCAAGATAATGCCCGAGCGTTGGCGGCATATGTTTTGCGCATCGTGCTTCTTATTCGGCGAGCAGGTCGCCCGCAGTAATTTTTCCAAAACCCTTTATGTTGGCCCTTTTGTGCCCTCTTTTGGTTTTGGTTGGGTGCCTTCTGGGTACCCTGTTTGTGTGGCTGGATTGTGTAGGGGGTTGCGTTCTGCCAACATCGCCTTGTTTGTTTTTTTCTCATCTTTTAATCAGAAAACGAGTAACAATCTGGTGTAATTTCTCAAAGTTCGTTGCAAGACATGCAAAGTTCTCATGGCATATTAATCAGTTGATTGCTGTAGAGAATTACTTAACCGTGCCGAACAGGCAGAATAAGACAAAGAGTGTAAAATTCCATCTCAATTGTATGCATTTATTTGAAAGATTCTTGTATAAGTTGGTGACGAATTTTAATTAATTCAGTGACATTTCTGAAAGGAGATTTTAAAATATCTTTGCGTGTACTTTTTGATATATTAGCGGCGATGTCTATACGCCGTATAAAAGGGGAAAATAGCAGATTTTATGCTATATTATACGGTTAACGGTGGTTGGTGCCCGAGCCCGGTAGTAGTATTTGGATAAATACTGTCCAAGCACAAGGATTAAATGAATGTGTTTTGATGAATCTGTTTTTATATTTTATGTTATAATAGCGTCAACGTACGTTTATTTCGTGTCATAAAGTCTTCAGAATAAACCCATGTTTGTCCGAGAATCTCACTGTTAGCTGTGGCGTATGTGCTGGACTAACGTAAAGTCCAGCGGCCCCGGCTTTACTGAAGGAAGCAAGGCTCTGTACCCAAACGTGAGGCATTGTTTGACCCTTTTAGTGGTCATGTCAGTTCTCGGAAACAACTGAACTAAAACGTCAGAAGTACGTACTATAGACACTGAGCGTATGTCTTGTCTAGGTCTCATAAATGTTAAAAAAGGGCGAGTAGACAACTTTGCATACCAACGAAACAGACGTCTAGTGTTAGTTTTTTTTTAGTTTAAAATTTATTGAATACGGGAGATTTGTTGCTATAACATCAGTTTGAAGGTTGCAAAATAACAAATTTGTACTGCAAAAATATTTATAAATATAAGAAAAGTTTTATGGTATAAATACGTACTTGTTCATTTTACATATTTTAAAATTAATAAAAAGAGTTTGAAATCATCACCAATATGTTGTCAATATAGCCTCTAGATTGTCACGAAATGCCAGGATATCGCTTCTTCTTTCAAAAATTTTCTCGGTAGAGCATGCCCCCGAACCCCCTTTGTTAAGGAGTACATTCCAAAATAGCTCAGTTACACCCCTGTTAATGACTATTTTGCAGTATCAATCACTACAATCTACTGCATTACTAACGCAGTAAGAGGTAATTATGCATATTTTGACCGGTTTTTGGTGATTAACGGGGATTGTAAGTGCCGATTGCAATGTGTAAATTATTTTCTTTGTTCACTTTTGTCTATTTTACTTTTAAATGCATTTTAAAAAATTTCAGAACTCGTTATTCGTCTTTTTCGTTATATTTAATTATATCATATTTGAAGAATGTGTCAGGGGAGGTGACTAGAGTGAATTTGTTTCTACTTTCTAGAAGATTCTGTTATTGTTGTTCAAATTGCCATGTGTGACTCCTTGAAACCGGCTTTTTTCCGCCAAGAACCTAAAAGAATGTAAATTAAGCGATTTAGTGACCAACAAACGTATAACCAGCTACAATATTTTTAACCCAACACTCTAAAACAGACGTTTTACTTCAAAGAGAAATTATGATTTGGCTAATGAGCAGGTCTTGTGTTGCCGTGAATTGTACATGGCTAAATGAGCGATTTTCCAGCGAAAGAAGAAATATTCCTACAAAAAATATTCTGAACATCCTCTCCTAATCAATTAAACATTTTTCATAAACATATATTTTCTCCCCTTTCCTGTTTTTTTTAATAAGATACTTTGGCATTGCTAGAACAAGAAGCGATTTGCATTTTTTTAGAATTGAGTTATCAACCACTTGCGGTTAGCAGCAATGTGTCTGTGTTTTCGAACCTTTGATTGGATTTGTATTTTTACAAAGGTATGTAATGTTTAGAAAAAGATATTTTAAGGTATATTTTCTATGATATCGTTTAGATAATGGAAAAAGTTAAAACCAAAGATTTAAATGTATTTGTATCTCTTAGGTGAATTATAAGTGGCGATCACTTCATGTGCTATGTAAATAATGAAATCAATGTTGTTGTTTTCTTTTTCAAATTATACATTTCATTTTTCAACTTAGATCTACATGTTGATCATTTGAATACTGTTCGTATGAACACATAAATATATAAATCAGCTTTCTTACAAATTACAGAATCAACGAAAGATCACGCTTCTAAGCCAACCTGTTTCGAACAGCCCCGGGAAACTATTTCGTTCAAATTCTTGGAATTAATGCCATCTGGGAACTATTCAAACTTAATTCTGAAAGTTTAAAGCTGGGATTGGAGAGTGCAGTGCTTGTGAAGACTCCAAATTATATTTTGTATACCTGTAATCTACAAAGTTTTCGAATAGATGGCAGTTATTGTAGGTGAGTTATGCTAAATGTTAATTTAAGCGAAGCTACCATCTGGAAACGCTTACAAAACGTTTATTAGAATTACCTTCATAGCGTCTCAAATAACCCAGAAAATCTACTTTATTGCGCAAGTTAATTCAAGGCACGCGACATTGACAGATGGTTAAATTATCAAGTGAGAGAGTTCTATTAATGTTAATCTATACTGTAGAGGTAATGGAAGTAAATATTATAGTTCTATAGCTATAAGAGGGTTTCAACAACTGACAAGATACAGCTGACAACGAGAAGGAAATAAGGACTGCATCTTGTCAAGCTCTCGATTATTTTGCCAAGATGCATTTGTGTGTTTTAAACGATCTAAATATACACACGAGATGCACGTATAGTGTCCTATATTCTGTACAACTAGCAATTCAATTATTTTATCAATTCAGAACTAAAACCTAGAAAGAAGGCTTATTAAATGATAATTCAGTTATTTCCTTTTCTATTTCTGTTTGTTTGTTTGCGTGTGTGCGCGTGTGTGTATGCGAACGTGTGTTTAAATTAAGGTTTAATGTGTATAAAGCTAAATATCAGATTTAAAAAAATTGAGAAAGAATAATTCCGAAATACCTTTATGAAAGTAATAAGTTTGTATATTTCCTTAATAGCGAATTGTGCATAGACGAAATCATTGCTAAACGGTTAAAAGCTTACATAACATTTAGCATAATATTTTGTTCCGGAACATATAATTCTGTTTACATACGTTATTTATGTGTGTTAAATAACAGACATTTTATGCTACAACTCTTTAGAGAATTGACCATAAGATTCTCGAAACAAAATTAATAATTTTACTTATTATACTTTTTATAAGAGATTGTATAAACTGTTGGACGAACAATGGTATTGTTAGAGCTTGAAAGAAATCATTGAAAAGGATATACAAAATTGTACAATGAAATAATAAAGTACAATGGAATATCTGTCAAATTGTGTGTGATAAATATAAGACATTCCGAAAAAAACATTTTCTCATTATATGCAAACATACTTATATTGACCGATAAACATAAATGACAATTTTAAAAAAGTGAATTTTGATGTAGCCTTCTCGCGTAGACAGTGAAATTCTGAAAATAGAACATTTCTTTGGGCAATAACAACCTTGCCTTTTTTATATATTTTTTTCATATGCTTTCACTTGTTCCTTTGATAGTTACAACCAAATCTTTAAACTACTTAAAAGGTGGTGGTCTTTTGAAGAGTTTGTTGTAAACATAATATAATGTATCTATGTCTGAAAATGGGACATTTCTTTGGGCAATAATCAACCTTGCCTTTTTTATATATTTTCATATGCTTTCACTTATTTCTTTGATAGCTACAAAAAATTATTTCAACTCATTAAAATGTGAAGTGAAAATGTTAATAAAATATCTCCTAGGATATATTGATGGTCTTTTGAAGAGTTTGTTGCAAAAATAATATAATATAACTATGTCTGTGGAAGCTATAACGCACTCATCATTTTTTACGTATTCCTGATACAATCACCAGATCATCTACCTATAAATCATTTCCAATATCCTCCATTTGTCTCCAGCTGCTCCGTAGAGAGGTGTTAATCCTGCGAAAAAAGATTGCAAACGGGGACTGCTTAATGGATTATAAGAGTGATAATTTGTTGGAGTGAATGCTAGTTTAAAAATCGTTCAACAAATTTAAAGAAAATACTTTTACAAATAGGGCATACTTAGCATTTTAGCAGAAAATAAGATACCTACACTATTGTTCTAAGAAA